CAGTTTGTCATTTCAAGTAGAAGATTTGATTTGTTAAAGACCAACTCTAGCAAATTAAAAACATTTTTTTTTTTAGTATTTTTCACTTTTTTTGCAGCCAAATTGGCGTAACGTCAACTTTGTCACATGCTCCATTTCACATTTCTTAACTTTAATAAATTGTATTTAAAATTTGCAGTTTACCTTTTTATTTTTAGATATTCTTTTTTGGAAACTCCAGGACTGAAAATTCTTAGTTGGTTCTCACTGAGCACACACAAAAGTGTGATTTCTCAACTTGTGGAAATAAACTTTCCAGCCATACTGGAATAACACCTAATTTATATTTGTTACATGCTCCCTTTCATATAGTATCACATGTCACATCGGTATTTAAACATTTGCTGCTTACCTTTTTACATTCCTTGCAATTATACCTAGTTTCCCCATCTATGTCATGTTTGGGAGGTTTGTTTACCCTAATTAAAAGAGAACTCTGGCCCGACCTTTTAGGGCTTTTTCGTTTGGGTCACAGAAGGACATTTACTAATGTCCTCCTGTGACCAAAACTCCGCATATAGCGGCCTTCTGACTGCTATATGCTGACAGCACAGAGGTGCACTGCACCCCAGGTTGTATCCTGACAATTTTGTCGGGATTTACCCCCCCATTACCTGATTGACAGCTGGCCCTTCCTCTCTAGAGGCTGTGCCCACCACCTCGCCTGTCTGTCCCTCCAGTCAACCCTGGAGGAGCAGAGAGGGAAGGGGGGAATCCCTGCGGGGAGTGATGATCGACAGTCACTGCTATCTGCTGGGAGAAGATTGTGAACTGAGCGATCAGTGGTATGCAATTGCTCAGTTCTTGATCAATAGAGCCGACGTGTGACAGTGAGTGCATTTTAGAGCTGCAGCTAACGATTATTTTGAAAATCGATTAGTTAGCCGATTTTATTAAGTTCGATTAATCGGATAAACAATAAAATAAATGTTAAAAAATGGCTCCAGTGATGGTACTACTAGTTTGTATTGAGATTGTAGTCCATCACAGGAGCAAGCTTGGAGCGGTGGAAGTAAAAAAGAAAAAAAAAGGTGTGAAATGGAAAGTCAAATTATACAGCAATGAATGCAGAATGGCACCGGCTATAGAGGACTACAAATCCCAGCAATAGTACATTATACAGCGCAATGCAGAATATCACCAGCTATAGAGCAGCACAACAAATCCCAGCAATAGTGCATTATAGCTGGCGGTATTCTGCATTGCGCTGTATAATGTACTGTTTCTGGGTTTTGTAGTCCTTTTATAGCCAGTGGTATTCGGCAGTGCACCACTGTATAATGTATTATTGCTGGGTGTTGTTGTGCTCCTCTATAGCTAGTGGAATTCCACATGGCGCTGTATAATGTATTATTGCTGGGATTTGTAGTCCTCTATACAGCGCAGTGCAGAATATCACCAACTATAGAGCAGTACAACAAATCCCAGCAATAGTACATTATACATACAGTGTATAATGTATTGCTGGGATTTGTATTCCTATGTATAATATACAGCACAATGTACCATCAGCTATAGAGGAATACAAATCCCAGCAATACATTATAGAGCACCATGTGTGGGAAAGTGCAGGCTTACCTGAGCAGTCTTCCAGCAACTTGTTTCTGAGATCGGGCCTGTCTATCGGCGGCTGTCATCCCCCCACACCTGCTCCTCCTTACTTCTTCTCCCCGCGTCCCTGTGCCGATCGTGGATGTGGGCGGGCGGTGAGTGTGAGGCGGGGAGGAGGTGCGGCGTGAAGAGCGTGGATGCGGGCGGGTCTGGCAGCGGCGAGCGTGAGGTGGGGAGGAGGTGTGGCGTGCAGCGTGTGTGGAGCCGTGAACAGGGCCAACTGATCGGAAGCCGATTAATCGATTATGTCGATTAGTTGTTGCAGCCCTAGTGCATTTCACTCTCCCCATAGTTCTTCTGTAACCCTGTATGTACTGCGCTGGCAGGTCTCAGTTGCACACTAGATTTGAACACTATTTGTCCTAACAAAGGGTTGTTGATCTCAAGGCTTGGGTTATACAATGTATGGAAATGCATTGTCTCTCTGATCAATTTCAAAGTGTAATTAGAATAGCTTGCAGTACTGTGTGCGCCTATAGAGCCCAATGTACAATCCTGCTCCAAAGAAACGCCTAGAGAGGTAAGAAATACCTAAAAATGATTTATTTTTTAAATATGGTGTTTGAATGTGAAGACACAATGGACATAAAGTGGGTTTTCACTGCAAAGGTGTAAATTCACTTTAGAGATTAGTATCTCTGCTCGGTTTTATGTCAGTGTCCACGTTTGAGAGCTTTCACTTCTATTTGACACCCATCATCTGAACAGGACGTGTAAGGAAATCTCTTCATCGGGAACACGGACACTATTAACAACCTTACAAAGGTTCTTTCCCCTACACACTTTACTTGCTTTAATACCTCCCAAATAAACAGAACGGGAGGGGAAATACTGCCAGTGGGGGCACGGACAACAATAACAATGAAGGTTCTGACACACACCCCCCCCACCCCATTTTATTAAAAAGAAATGGTATTACATTTGTTTCAGTATGCACTGTAATCCAGTTCTTTTGTGGTGCTCATCGGACAGTGAAGGTGTTGACAGGAGGAGAGAGCAGAGTAGTGACTTCAACAGCCTGCACCTTCTGCATTGTCCTATCAGAAGGCTTTGTCCTCACAGGGGTAGGTGGCTCACAAGGCTGGCTGACTGGCAAGGCAGGATTACGACTACTTTGGTAGGTCAAGCTCTACTGTATATAAGCTTTATATTTAATTCTCTATACTGATGAATAGGAGAACTGGTCCTAATCCTTGCATAACGTGTGATTTCCTGGCTGTGGAGAGCGGTGTTTAACATTCTAACCAACATAGAGATCATAATCTTGTGGTATTTCAGAAATGGAGCCTTTTGGTTCTACTATCAGAGACGGAAACAGCCCATGCTGCGCTGCTTCCATGTTGTACCAATTGTTTCTCAAGCCTTTAAATCAGGTGTAGGCAAAGCTCTGGCAGCCACTGCCATGACTCCCAGAGACAGAGGCTTTATGGGATTTGTAGTTTTGCACCACAGCTGGAGGGCTGGAGTTTGCCTACCTTTGCTCTAAATGATATAGGAAGGCAGCTTTTAGTCACTAAGCCCAAGAACTGGAAAATATTTGCCATCAATGTGTCCTGCTTTAGCACATACAGTGGGTTTGTTACGGCTGGGGTTTATCTGCGGTGACAGTGGCCTGTCTGCTTTGTGTCTTCAGGACTTTTTGGAAGCTCTTCTGTTTACTATGATCTGCAGCAGGCGTAAATTCTTGACATTTTTTCCCAAGAGAAAAGAAATCAAGGCAGATTACTGCAGGAAAATGCTACAGGTCTTCCCAGGACGGGTCAGGACATGAACTTGTGACACTGTAATATATTTTATGTTTTCTTTTCATCACAGGCAAATGGCATAATGCTGACTGAGGCCTAACATTTTCATTGACAGTGTTAAAGAACAAACAAATAATATAAAGTAGTAAATTTTTCCGTATCGCAATGCATGTACATAGAAAAAAAAAAAACTTTGATATTTAAGGCCCCATTCACACTAAGCAACATGAAAATCGGGCGATTTTGAGCAACTTGTCGCGCGACTTTTTCCTATTGTGCTGTATGCAATCAGGAGCAAAATCGCTCGAAATCGCTTGAAAAAAGGGTCATGTAGGAGCGACAAGCTACCAGCGATATTGAGCGACGAGATGTGAACCGCTCCATTGAAATGGATTTAAGAAGCTACATAGAGCAATATCGTGTGGAAATATGAGCGATATCGCTGCAAAAATCGCTCGCTAAATTCGCTCAGTGTGAATGGGGCCTAAAGTCATCTTTCACATTGCTCTTAGGCCCCATTAACACTGAGCGATTTATCGAGCGATTTTTGCAGCGATATCGCTCATATTTCCACGCGATATCGCTCTATGTAGCTTCTCCAATCCATTTCAATGGAGCTGTTCACATCTCGTCGCTCAATATCGCTTGTAGCTCGTCGCTGGTAGCTTGTCACTCCTACATGACCCTTTTTTCGAGCGATTTCGAGTGATATTGCTCCTGATTGCATACAGCCCAATAGGAAAAAGTCGCGCGATACGTCGCTCAATATCGCTCGTCATGCAATATCGCACGATTTTCATGTCGCTCAGTGTGAATGGGGCCTAAGATATTGGTAATCCTGTAATGATACCCCCAATGAGGGTGGGTATCAGTTGGGGAGAGGATTAATGATTGAAGGAAAGGAAGGCAGGATCAAGGTAGCTCCTGCAGCTTCATTAAGTTCTATTGTAAAGATGCGGTTTCCAGGGAATTGAGAGGAATTGGTTTCAACACAAAGAACGTGCTGCAAGTGTGGAGGAAACAGTTAAGGCTGGAGTTAGGGCTTCGATTTTGAAAATAATCGTTAGCTGCAGCTCTAGCTGGAGTTGAGCTTTAAAGGAGTAGAATATAGAGAAGGCAGCATTGGCATGGTGATGTGATGCTTCTTTACTGTCTACTGGTGACCAAGTGGACAGGAGAGAGACGACCAATTTAGCTGTCAAGGCGTTAAGAAAGGCGTGCTGCAACCCGCTGAAACATCGGTATAATAAAACCTACACCTTACTCCTTTTTGAAGACCTCTGAGCGCCTACTAAACTTTTGCTATAATACTGCTACTCTGTGGAGCTCTGAGGCATGTCTTTCTGGAGTGTGTGCTGGTACCAATTCTCTACATAAGATATATTTAAAAAATAGAGATTGATTTTTTTTTTTGTATCTCCCAGCTTTTTATGGATGGGGAAAAAAGGGGCATTTTCCAGGCCTGTATAACAATGAAATATCACGCTCTCATTGAATAATAGATATGTAGAACTTTGACTTGCCATCATTACATTATTCAAATGCTGCAGATTTATTGTTTCCTAGGTATTTTATCTGTGTTTGCTTTATTGTTGGTCTTCGCAGGAAGAAGTTACCCATACTGAAAATTCTGGGACAGTAATTGTAACCACCGAACCAAAGCAAAATGACCCAAAAGAGGTTTGTTAAGGATTTTTTCTTGTGAACTACTTTTTTTTCCCATGCATGTAAACTCACCGGGAATGAATACATATCAGTACTTGCTTATTTTTAAAAGGGCATTCTACTTTTCCTATCCACTACCGATTTTTGTGGTAGCATACATATAAAGATGCCCTCTAGTAGTTGTCTTCCGTCATTAAACTCATCGGTGTCTGGATCATGGGATGTTCTTATACCTGTAATCTTTACCTGCCTATGGAAGACATCATATGGAACAGCTGTCTTTGGGGCACAGGCAATGGTTGGATTTTTCCCAGCTGATCACCGTTTTCCTTAAAGAGAGGCTATGGGTGGAGATGTCTGTAGGGCATATTTGTCTACATGTGCACAAGCATGCAGGTTCACTTCATATATATACATAGAATTATCATTTGGTGGGCAGATTTTCCTTGACTTCTGAGACTTCATATTTATGCTTATATTTCCCAAGCTGAAAAGGGATACCATTAGGTTCCCTCAAGTATAGCTGGAATCCCTGGCTGGACAAAATCCAGTGTTTAAGTCTAGGTTCACATGCATATGTTTTTATGTGCTTTTAACATGCTTTGCGTTAGGGCAGCCTATTAAATTGAATGGCCGGTCCAGCGCACAGAAATCCTTTGGTGTTAAAAAAAAAAACAGGTGCAGTACAACGCATGGTAATAAGTTACCAGTACTGTGTTGCACTGCAGTGCAAGTGTCTAAAGCTGGCCATACACCTACAGATTATCTGCAGATTTTGTATGATCGGATGGAAAAAGTGCAACAGATTCCTCCATCTACACTAAACTGCGCGGCTAGAGGAATCTCCCACTTGGCCAAGCTTCAAAATACCTGAACAATTTGGATGCATGCATTGTTCAGGTATTTTAAGAGCCAGTGGGGGGAAATAGCAAGATGCTGAAGCTTGGCCCAGTGGGAGATACCTTCGCCCCCACACCGTTTAGCGTAGATGGAGGAATCTGTTGCACCTTTTCCATCTGACCATAGAAAATCTGCAGATAATCTATAGGTGTGTTGCCAGCCTTAGCAAGGTTCATTGGGGTGCCATAAACAATAGATGGCACCGCAGCAACTGCTGCAACTTATGCAATGTTGTGCACATTCCTGCATTGCAAAGCTGTGACTTGATTTCTTTTTTCTATTTTTTTTTTTCTCTAATATATACTATTGGGGCTTTAGTAAAATATCAGAAATCTGAACAGACCCCTAATATTTCACTTTTGTCTGTCAGCCGCTGTTCGTAGCTATGCATTTACTCAGCAAAGCAGGGGGGACCATGCTGCTATAAGTTCATGGTTGCTGAAGTGTCCATAAGCTTATAGCAAATTGGGAATGCAAGCAAAAAAGGGATACTGTGCTGGCCAGCTAAAGTGGTTTTGTTCTGTGGTATCCATTACCACAGTGGCAGCGAATGGGTTAAAGAAACGCACAACGGCAATAAATTTAGTTTTTTAAGATCTGCTGATTTCAGCTTTTAATGAAACAATTTGTGAGCAAGCGAATTGCCATGATGATATTCTAATGCTTACTGTTTTATAAAATATGTTTTTAAAATAATGTCTTGGTAGATTATTGAGCGCATTATTGAAGAAAGTAAAAAATCCATTGTCGTAGATGAATGCCCTAATGCAACTGAAAACGTGGTAACGTTAAATAATTCAAGCGACTCTGTAGAGACTGATCCAGCACTTTCGCGGAACATCCCTATACTGGTGATCACTGAAACAACCTTTCACGATGATGCAGAAGTACTACGCCATAAAGAACTTGATGAATATTCGGGGTCAAAACAAAGCGAAACGCATGACATCTCAATCCCTCTCATTGAACAGTTGGTAGAAACATCTAAAATTGTTGAAATTATAGAGCAAACAGAAGGTCTCGAAATCTCAGAAAAGAAAGAATACAAAGAAAAGGTATCGGAGTATGAGGAGCTTAAAGAAAACAAGGATAAAGAAACTATGGACTTTGTGCCCGATGAGACACCTTTTGCTGAAGCTGTAGAGCAGTTACCACCTGCTAAGCCTCCTCGGCAGATTAATGTTGAGCCTGACATAGTAGCAAGCACTAAAAAACCGGGCCCCTCACGTCCCACAGCTCCTTTAAATGCTCCTCCACCAAGGCCGCCACCACCTGTGAGGCCAGCACCACCACCACGTAAGAAGAAAAATGATCCTGACTATGAGAGCCCAAGATCTTCAGGTCTAGACTGTAAGTATTCACCAGGATGATTCAAACAGTGTTAAGTAAATTAAAATTTTTCTTGGATCAATACGCTATGTTTAAAAATCGAGTTATAAAAAGTATTGCTTGAAGGAGAATCTCACTAAAGGTTGATCTTTTTTAAACACCTGTTATGGTTTATGCTACATCTGTCATGGTGTTGACCTTTATACAAGCCTTACTCCAGCCAAACTTTGTCATAGACTAGAAATCATTGGTCAAATGTTATTGATGTCTGTGTTCTGTTTGGAAATATCTTCCCTCATTTCCTGTCTCACAGAAAGTGCGAGGATAAATTTCCAACACAGACACAAACCGCATTAAAGAGGCTTGACCATCTATCAGTATCTTATTGCTTTCTATGTCACTACTGGGGAGATTACCTCTCAAAGGCTGAGATTTTAGCAGGGTATCGCCAAGATGGATAGTGTGGGAAAACGTCCCTAATTGATACACAAAAAAAGTAATAAGAACTTGGCAGAGGTTCTAAGCCTTCTCCACTCCATCTAAAAATAAAATAAAAGTTTCGCTATAGTAGGGTTTTAAAGAAGAACTGTGGTAACAATTTATTCTTATGGTCTTAAAAAATACACATTGTACAAGACGTGATGACACCAAGGGACATTATATCGCTGGAGTGGAGGAGGAGACAGGCTGGATGAAGTGCTCTAACAGCCAGCCGGCTGCGACTTTTAGGTGAGTTTAACTTTATTTTACACCCCAGATGAAAACGAGCACTTAACCTTTGGTGTGTGTGTGTGTGGTCTGTTTTACAGTTTTCTTAAAAGAGACAACTGTAAGGGGGTAAAAAGTTAGATGATAAACTCCCCTTTGCTCTGGCTTCTGCTCACGGTGCCTAGGCAAGGTGATGATTTTTTTTCTTCCGGCGTGATCTAGGAAATGTTGAGTATCCCAAATCTCGCTGAAAAGAAGTACACTTCCAGCACTATGATGTAGCATTTTCTCACGAGATTTGGAGTACTCAGCATTCCTTGGGATCTTATTCGCAGGAGTATGTCTTTACCACTTGCACTATGTAAGCTGGAGGAAAGGGGAATGTATATCTGTGTACCCCTCTAAAGGTGTCTCTTTTTTCACTTTTATGCAGTATTTTCCACAAGGGGGACATATTTAAATGCGGAGTTTGCACTGCTAAGTGTCATCCTGAGTGCCTCCAAGATCCTCCAAAACCCGGTGCACCTAATATGCAGAAGTGTCTTGGATTTGTGTCTCACCTGCAATATGCACTTATCTCCATACATCAATTAGACATGCATGCTGGATTGAGGGATACATGAGGCATACGGAGGCCTTTTAGATCTGCAAGTCACAGTTTACATATTAAGTTGTTCTTGTTCAGGGGCTCCTTCAATGTTCCAAAGGTCACTTGAGAACAAAAAAATAATATATTTGTGCAGACAACTCATGGTACCTGGCTTTTAAATTATTATTTTTTGAATTAATTAATACAAATAAAGGTGTAGTTTTAATTGTATAGCCTGCATTAAAATCTGAATGCAAGAGAAGTTACCATCAGACATTTTTTTGCTTAGATGTAAGACAAGACAGATGTGCAAAACGGACCAAGTTTAGCAAACCCTGTATTAAACCATGGTGCTTCTTTATGCAAGGCATCTGCTCTTGTCTCTGATTATTTACTCCGCTAAAGGAATAAGGAAAATAAATGGTACTTTCTATTCCCTTTTTTTTATGAACAAAATATTATCGCTGTTAGTGTTTTCGCGTATATTAAATTGGAGTGTGGCTGTAAAATAGGTTACAGGTCCCCATTAACCTGTTCACAAGCTGGAAATGCTAGTATACAGCTTTTTTTTTCGGGGGGCTGTTGTCTGTCCATCTTTTGTTACCTTTTTTATCTTTTTCACAAGCTAAATTAAATAAAGTGAAAATGTATGTTGGCCTTTAAAATCCATTCGCAGCTGTAACTCTGCAGGTATTACAATTACATTTTTTGTTTGCTTGTTTATTGTAGACTGTTTCCTGACCTATATTTTTCCTTTTGCAGTTACAAAGGATGGCTTTCTTCCTGGAGAGCTCCTGACCCCAAACGCTATGGCAGAGGCATTAAATAGGGATTGTCAGCCCTCTCTGGATCTTGCTAGTGCAACAAGCGGGGATAAAGTGGTTACTGCTCAGGTCAGTGTGTTTCAGATGGAGTAACCTACTACATTTTTGGGGCAGCAGAGATGCACTGTGCCTCCTATACGAAGAAGTCTGTGAAAAGAGCTCATTTGCCTATTCTAAAGGAGATCTTCTGTTTCATTTACCCATAATGCTAATGGAGGATCTTCTGTGGCTGGACACAGACTTGAGATTATTATCTCTCACAGATGCTTCAGTAAATGTGTCTCATTCATGAAGTGTCAGTATTTCTGATTCATATGCAGACAACATACTAGACTAGTCCAGCACTGTTGCAAACAAATTACATTGTATTAAAGTGTGTCTGTAAACCTGCTTTTAGGAGAATGGAAAGGCAGCGGATGGTCAGCTGTCCAGTTCGCCAACAGAAAGTTCTGGTCCCCAGAGGCCCCGGTCTAACTCGGGAAGAGAGCTCACAGATGAGGTAATGCTGACTCTTATGTTTTATATAGTAGACACCATGTTTATTTATATAAAATCTGAAATTATGCCAGTCTCATTATTTTTCAGGTACAAATAGGCTCTGTCTGGGGCCATTAACAAGACTTGTATAGTTAATGTATATTCAAAGCCAGCATTTATTTTGCGTAAAGTGGGGAATGGTTAAAAAAAATATTTATTTTTGCCATCTGGCTCCAATTGGGAAGATTTAAATGAAACTGCTTGGCAAGTGGTTCTAACCCATTTTGCACAGACTGTCAAGCAAATCCAACATCCTATCAGAACACCTACATTCTGTTCCAGATAAATTAAGAAAAATTAGGTGGGTTTGCTTGGCATTTGTTGAACCACTGAGAAAACGATTGGTAAATGCTTTTTATAAAGTCAGTATGATCAAGGCCTTCGCTAAGTCAAATTGTCCTACAAATATGTCAGATTTGTGTAGTACTAGATTCAGTCATTCATTAAGATTTGTTATTTTCAGGAGATTTTGGCCAGCGTAATGATAAAAAACTTGGACACTGGAGAGGAAATCCCTCTGAGTTTGGCAGAGGAGAAACTTCCAACTGGCATTAATCCACTGACATTGCATATCATGAGGAGAACCAAGGAATATGTCAGGTAAGAGCTACTACAGTGTTGGAAATTTCAAAAGGTAATCCAGTCCCCTGATTTTTCTTTGTACTATACTTGTGCAAGTTGAGTTTTAATTGATTATTGCTAGTTCTGTTTTGTTTTAAAGAGAACTTTTCACCAACCAAAGTCAGGGATAAATTTCCCAATCATAGTAACATGTTTCTAGCAACCTATTAGCACCCAGAGTAGTTTTAAAAAGCAATATAAAATCTGTGTTCTCCCTAGAAAGTTTATTTGGCCAGTTGCTATAAAAGACCTTGTAAAAAGCATTGTAAAATCATTGAAAAAATGAAACCTGGCACAAATGTTAGAGAACTGTATTTTAAGTAAAAATTGCACACAAACAGAATATATACTTCAATTTTTGCCATTGCATTTAAAAAAACACGTTCACCTGCCCATTCCAGGCAAAATCACAGTGTCTCCTTAAAGCCAGTCTCACTTGCAAGATGAAATTGCCTAATCCATGCTGCCTTTCTGACTCCCCACTGCAGGAGTCCACCCCAGGTAATGTCTACTGTCAGACCTTCCTTACCTGAGTGGATGATGTTGTTGCATCTCCCTGTGTTTGGTCCTGGTGATTGTTCAGGCCATAGTACTGTCAAATGGAAGGTACTGTCACTTTGTCTTGTATGGGCAAGTGTAAGTGACAGTGTCTATTTAAGTTTGTCTCGTCTGGGCAAGTGTAAGTGACAGTGTCTATTTAAGTTTGTCTCGTCTGGGCAAGTGTAAGTGACAGTGTCTATTTAAGTTTGTCTCGTCAAGTGGCATGACAGATGTCTGGCCTGTTACGTGTGTAAAGATTATTAAAGCTGCAGATAATGCCTCTTTCAACAATACAGGGTCTCTGAACGGGTGTAAGACTGATTGGAGACAGGTGGAGGTTGCCCACATAGCTTATTGTTATTTTTCTAACAGATTAGGCAAAGTGGGCAGAGTTTTTTGGAACTAGATCAGATTGTTCTGGCAGATAGTCCAGGGCAAGACAATGCCATAGACAGTTTGTGTTGCCCATAAAAACTGGTGTTTCTCTTTGGGGTTAAATGCAGATATTCCATTGCACACCTAACCGGTATATCCTCTGTTGTCTCTTGGTGGGTCCTGTAGTGACAAGCGGATGGTGCTACTGAATGCAACATGGAGAGCAAGTCACCAGCACACCAGAATCTTCACCAAAATGTCTTTGACTTTTGTTGACTATGGATCGCATGAAAAAAGTGAAGTTTTGGCACCACGCAGGCTCCTGTGTATTACATCATATGTGAGGGTGACCAGCATAGTGGAAGTGGTCTTAACAGTTTAAATTATAGTGTTTGTGTATAGGTGGGCAGCCATATTTACTCATTACATATGCAGGTTTTGCTTCTAGCTTAGTTGTGCTTCAGAATGCATGTACGTTTTTGATTCTCATCTCATTGCAAGTCTGCCTGACATGATCTGTATGATTAAATATAATGATCACTATGTGGTCTTTGACTGGAAACGCCCACAGTGCTCATAGTAGCAGGATAATGTGTAATCTAGACTGCCGAGGCTTTAGGTGACATGAGGTAGCACTTATGGCAAACAAGCTTACTTTTAACTCTTTAAAGTGCATGTGCTCTGCTAAATCATTTGAAGTGTTAATCTTATTGATGGGCACCTTTTTAACAGTTGCAAGAAAAAATCCATAAAGCATTACTTTACAAAGCTGGAAAAAAAACATATTTCCTGGCACCAACCTTCTGAAATAGTACGATTTGAGGATGTATCTCCAGAAGTGAATTGCCTTTTCATGGGAAGCTCCCTTTCCACTTAGTAGATATCGCTTCCATCTGTAAGATATGTGCCATTAACTGGAATATGGCTTGGCTACAAAACCACATAAACTAGCATTAATAGACATTTTTCAGTACTAAAAGCATGTGGTCATTTTTCAGTACTAAAAGCATCATGCGGTCAACCATGTCTCAGTAATAGCTACTCTTCTCTTTCTCCAGCAGGAGCTGTGCAATTCATACAGCTGTATGATATAGGCATAGAAGATAGTACATAAAAATGTTCATTGTAATTATTATTGTATTTCTAGAAATAATGCAGTGCAAAATTGTTGGTCATAACAATGCCACTACTGTATATCCATTTTACCTACCACCCTTCTGTATAGTAATGTCAAAATCTGATTTGTAGATCATATAAAATGCATCATAAGCAATGAGGGTACCCTGCGTCTCATCGGAGATATCTCCGTTTCGCGGTGGCATATTCATTTTGGTGGAGCTGCCTTTCGGGCTGGCGCCTGCTTCGCGAGTGTTCACCGAGGTGCTTGCCCTGATTCTGGCGCTGTTGCGTTGTCGGGGGGTTTCGATCGTGGGCTACCTGGACGATCTGCTTCTGCGGGCGGATTCGCACTCCTCTCTGTTGGTGGCTCTGGAGGTCCCGGAACAGTCCTTGGAGGAGTTCGGTTGGCTCCTGAACCTCCGGAAGTCTTGCCTGGTGCCTTTTCCACGCCTGGAGTATCTGGGACTGGTTCTGGACACTGTCGCGACCCGGGTTTTTTTTTTTCTCCCTCAGGACAAGCTCCTGCACCTTTTGTTCCAGAGTACGGCTGCTGCGGTCTCGCCGGTGGTCGTCCATTCGTGGCCGTGCAGCGTCGTTGGTCGCTGGAGGAGCTCCGTCTGTCAACAACTGTGTTGGAACTTCGGGCGATTCGCTCTTTATCTCCTTCATTGGTCGGCCCGGCTTTAGGGTCAGGCAGTTTGGGTCCGGCCGGACGACGATACCCTACCATTCAGGATCTACGATCTGTTGCCTGTGTCCTTCAATGAACGGAGAGAATAAGGATTTTACGGTGAGTACAAAAATCCTATTTTTAGCAGGGTGAAGTAGACGCCAAGGTGGACAGAAACCTATTTGGAAATTATAGTGGGGGGGAAATCTCACCACTGGAGTCATCACAAGATCTAAAGTGTGAGCAGTTGACTCATTCTACTAGGCTGTACCTGTATCTTTTTTTTTTTTAAAGCATGTATTGCTTATTGGATTTTCAATGAATACATAACATAACTAAAGCGTGCAACAATAATACAAGAGGGTACCATATCATAGTAAGGGATGGGCATACACAGCGAGGAGCAATCGACCAGTTTTGTAAACAGATGGAGAACATTTGAGAAAACATGTGTCGGTATGATCAGAGTATTTTACGTCCCCTTGCCGTGTATGCAATGACACTATGTCGAATAGGATTTAAGGCCTCCTCTCCAAAACAGAAGAAAACATACTAAAACATTAAGGAATTAAGCTACAATCACTACCTGGGGTACAAAAAAGCATGAAAAGCAATATTGCCAGTACCTGCAGCAGCATATTTTCCACATATTCGGAGTATACCAATTTCAGTTTCATGTGGGACTAATCAAATGTCAAGGGGTGTCTTGTAATCATGTATAAAAAAGAAATAAAAAAACAAACAAACCAATAAATGATTGAGAGTGCACCAAGGGTAAGTGTCTCACTAACAATGACCTAAAGACCCTTCCGGGCGGGTCTAGAGTACATCTAGGGCTCCCAAAGTGTGTGAGAGTTTGGCATTGAGATACCAAGATGATGTTTGGAACTCTGACATGACGTTGCGAAGTTGGTCAAGGGGGAGCGCGTCACTGGTACCTGTATCTTAAAGCCCAATTTTGATCACAGTAAACTTGCTGCAGTTCAGTAAGTTGCAGAGTGACTTTGCTGTAAAGCCACCTGCCATAATTAGACCTGGGACCTTCTCATTGCAAATCATCAGTATACAGGTGAAACTCGAAAAATTTGAATATCGTGCAAAGTTCATTTATTTCACTAATGCAACTTAAAAGGTGAAAATAATATATGAGATAGACTCATTACATGCAAAGCAAGATAGTTCAAGTCGTGATTTGTCATAATTGTGATGATTATGGCTTACAGCTCATGAAAACCCAGATCCACAATTTCAGAAAATTTTTGGCAGTGTGGGCAGGTGCCAAGTCCTGCTGGAAAATGAAGTCAGCATCCCCATAAAGCTCGTCTGTGGAAGAAAGCATGAAGTGCTCCAAAATCTCCTGGTAGACGGCTAAGTTGCATTAGTGAAATAAATGAACTTTTGCACGATATTCTAATTTTCCGAGTTTCACCTGTACATGCCAGGGAAAGTCCAGTTACCACTTAGCTTCTGTGCCCGCTCTGACTGTAGCGCTGCAGGTCTCATAGATATTAGAGCTGCAATCACATCTCCACCCTACTCTCCTCCTGGCCATTCACAAAGCAAATGGCACCAGGCTTCATATTGTGATTGGCCAGTAGGAGAGGTGGGCGGAGATGCAACTGCAGGGCCAAGGTCTATTAGATTTGCAGCACACCAGCTCGAGCGGGTCTTTCGCTGGCACGTATCCTGCTGATTTTCAGGGAGAACGAGGTCGTGCTGATTAATGGCATGTGGCTTTAACTGCAAAGTCAATTTGCAGCTTTCTGTACTGCAGGAAGTCTATTGTTCCTGAAGCTGGAAAATGATTTTCTGGGTTGCTGGCTGGAAATTTCACCTTTTTTACTGGCTAGAGGAAGGTTCTCGGGTCTGGTTTACTCTAACACTTGTCCATATCCCTACTGTGTTCATCCTAATTTGACGTTTGTTCATAAGTACTGGAAAACCTTCGTTCACCTGTTTTGTAGCGTTCAATAACTTTTTCTGTCATGCATACAATAGGGACACATTGTACCCAACGCAAAGAAAATCTAGATGCACTCTGTCCTTCAGAGTTCACCGGTTTATCCCACAGAAGTGAAGGGAACTTCCCTTGCACCGCTGACAAATGTCAAAATTAGAATGGTTGAAAAAGTTGAATGGTACTTTGCTACATTTGCTCTTGTCTTGATGAGCCCTTCTCTATACAGCTATATATTTCTGGGTGACGTTTTGTTTACAATATGTGATTGTCCATGTTATTGTTGGCCATTTTTGGTTTTATGTGCTTTATATTACATAATTAAGTTTCTGCTAATGTCATCACTGGAGTTTGTAATCCAGTTATCTGTTGACTTGCTTCCTTTATGTGTTACTGCAAATCTAATACAATGTTCTTTAGAAGAATAGATGAAGAGGCTATTTATTTCATAAGAATTATTTTGTGTGCTGATCTTATTTTATTCAATTTTTTTTTATTTTTTTAAAGCAAATCCTTGAACAAAACAATCTTTTTTTTAAAACCTTTTTTTTTACCATCCCATTTTCCCCTTTCTCTCCGTGCCTTTTCTTTGCGTGTCCTCCTTTTTACCTTTTTTATTTTGCGGTCAGTGGTAGCTCATGTTTGCTAATCACTAATAATAAATTTGAGAGCCAGACAGTAAAATCTAAATTAAAGCCACTGGTGAGAGGTTAGAGCTGCTTTCAGGCTTTATTAATTTCTGGATTGTTGTTAGGGATACTTACTATTTCCTTTTTGTCCTGGTGACCGCTGTCTTTGAGATAGAAAATGAGAGAAAACCCAACATTTGTAGTTGTCTCCAGAACAAGAATAGGACAGGAAGTGTGGCGGGATCACCAGGTGACTATAACGGTAAAGAAACTAATGCAGCCACCACATCTAAGGCTGGCCATACACCTATCAATTTTTTTTGTTCAACTCGCGGGCTGAACGAAAAAAGTTTACCTGATTCCTCCATCAACACAAACAGCATGCCGATCGAGGAATCGCCACTGTATGCATCTTATTCTGACAGGTGCCGCCGATACCTGTCGGAATACCCAATCGAAGCGCTCAGCTCATTGGCTGCCGACTCTGATCGCACAGAGATTTTCCAGCCCCAGCTGAAAGGTAGTCGGCAGCTACCCACACACTGTGCAAATTTCGGCCGGTACATTAAAAACCATCCGGAATTCTACCAGTGTATGGGCACCTTTTATGGACGGTAAGCTGTGATATAACGTTTTTGTTCTTGGATTTAGATGAAATGTTATAAATCCCAATGTATTTTCCAGAAAGAAACGCACTTTTTTTTTAAACAAAATCTTATTTGAGGTTTTAAAAGACTATAGCTGTCACAGAAGTGTGGCTTCTCCACCCCACCGATGGCAATTGAATTATTCAAAAATCTAAGATATCTTGTATCTCTTGCCAATATTCCAACATTAGTAGGCTTTCTCCTTTAGACAATAGACAGTACTATGTATGTAGCAAGTATATGGTCAGCATCATCAATAGGAGTAGAGCTTGCAAGGGCTTGTGCAGATAGTCAAATACAGCACATATTCAAGTGCATAACCTTACATTTAAGATCAGTTTGAGATGCTGCTGAGTTTCTGTAGTTGAGCTGCTAAGCTGCAGCAATCTGTTTTGCATTCCTATTGACTTGTATCAACAGAAAAGCCATTCTGAAGGGAACTAAACCCCATCTACACAAGCACTAACAGAGATGCTGATATGCCAGAGTTTATAGAACTTAATTCTTTGCTTTCCTTGGGGACTGCAGCAAGTCATGTAGTTGCACTGTTTTAATGCGGTTGTTGGGTTACTGCAGATGTTCGGTTAGCAATGGAACCACTTTACCTATTCAGGACACTAAAAAGGAAAATATTACATTGCACATATTTAATGCATGATCATGGAAGGTATATATTGTGCCAGTATCTGGAGTATGCTAGAACTATGAGGTGAGTGAAAAGCACTCGCCTCATAGTTCTCCTTTTAACATGTTCTTACAGCCTACTTATTGAAATGTGTAAAGTTCTAATATTAAAGCTAAACTGGAATAGTGACATATACAGCATTAATGATACAGCCAGGGTAGCCAGGAAGCAGATTAGTAAATTATAGTTGTTGATGGGAATACCTTTGGTGAGAGATGTTAGCTCTGAAAATCTCCTGTTTCCTTTTGTATCCCATGGCATGTTGTGAGTTGTGACAGCATTCAATATCAGTATCATTGATTTTCCTGCCTTTTTCTTCTACTCTAGTAATGATGCTGCACAATCTGATGATGAAGAGAAGATGCAACCTCATCAAACAGATACAGATGGAGGAAAATTGAAGCAGAAAACGTAATTTTCTTACAGTAGTTATTGCTTAATTTTTCTATTTTTCCTATAAGCTGTATTGAGAGTGAAAACATGCATTTGTGTTGCAGCATAAAATAATCTGACACCATTGTAGTTGTATCATTGAACAATGATAAGCACCTGAAGCCTGCCTCTTTGTGGCTCCTGAATTATCAGGTAGTTGCAGGCACCATAGGTTACCTTCACTCAGGCAGTATTGTTTGGACATGTTGATATTCTTGACAAGTTGACTATAATGTTTGCTGCCCCCTCTTTATTACCAACTGTTGTATAGTAATGCATAACTGATCTGAATTATACGGTGCTGGGCTTTGTTCAGGGGTTTCTCTACAACCTTCCTAAAGCTGGCCGAATCTCTCCGTTCACATTCCCCCCCCAAGAAACCTTGGCTTATAGGGCCTATGAGTGCCTCACAGACATTGGATAATTTTCCAAAAACTGCAGATAACCTTGATCTCATGTCTATGGACACCTCTTCACTGGATTCTTACAGAAACCTTGATCTCATGTCTATGGACACCTCCTCACTGGATTCTTACAGTAACCTTTAGCTCTCCGAAACAGGAAGAACACCACAAGTCTTTATATTTAAAAAAAATTGACAAAGTGATATTAAGCCTTATTTTATTGTTTTTATTATGAGAGCCAGACTTGATTATAAATGACTTGTTTCTTTTTGAAATGTTTTTAAACTCTGTGTGCGAGTGTCTCCATCATGAGGAGACACCTGTGCGCGCACGTTCCTGCAGTTAGCTGCATGCATCCATAGAGACACACAGCTTGTGGCAAGCCATGCACCCCCCCCACCCCCCTCTAACACAGTCACACTTTGATGGCAGAAGGAGTCTATGGCTCCTCTGCCCTCAGTACCCTCCCCAAGGGCCAGGAAGTTTGGGGTAAAGCAGAGTATCTTCTTGGTCCCGGCAGAGGAGACAGCTGACCACAGGTGTGTGTGTGTCGGGGGTTACAGAAAGCTACTAGGCATTTATTGTACATTCCATTTCATCTCCCGCCGCCACTGCAATAACTGCCGTTCTTCGACCCGCTTCAGACTATCAGCGGTCTCTCCTCACAGGCTGTAATCGGCTACAGCAGTCTGTGTCAGAGGGACACAGATTGCTGTCTGCTGTTAATCAACAGAGGTGGACCTGAAGGAGAACTTTCTCCTTCAGGTCCCCTCCTCTGCTGATTGACGGCAGGCAGTGTGCTGGTGCGATAGTCTGCCTGCCATTGGCTATTGCAGTTTGAAATAGCCAATAGCAGGCTGGCTATTGCTCCCAGCCACTGCCTACTAGGTTTACATTCAGTTGTGAGGCAGCTGTCATTCCCCAGCTAAAGCTATTGAACTGGAAAGGTGACACTAGGGGTCTGATAGACCCCTAATGTCACCTTAAAGAGAACCTTTCATCTCCAATGATTTAAAAAAAAAAGTTTTAAAATACCAAAAAAGAAAATGAAAGCCCCCCCATCCACCACGAAACACCCTTGTGAAAAAAACCTGGCTCCTAAGTTTTTTTAGCTGGCTCCTGGATTCAAAGAAAATTTGTCAAGCCCTGACTAGAGGTATATCTATAGCCAAATTTGTTTTGTTTCAGCTTTTGGATAAAGATGGAAAGGAGGGAACCTCTGCCAGGTTTACCTGCCATTTATGCCCTCACTGGAGAGATTTGTGAGTGTCCTCTCATTTTCTGTTGTGTCTCCAGGACAGGAGGTAAAGGGGGTATCTCCTCAGTGGGACACAGTAAAAACTAGCCTCATGGGGTTTAAATCCTTCTTTACTCTATCCAAAACGAAATCAAAAGTTTAGCGTATACTGTACATACGCTTTAAATGTATGCTAGAGTAAGATTACCGTAAATGTACTTTTGTATGTTGAGTGCATTTTTGTTGCTCTTACATTGGTCTCTCTGTTTCAAGGACCCAACTGAAGAAATTTTTAGGAAAAAAGGTGAAAAGAGCAAAACATCTGGCAGAAGAATATGGCGAGAGGGCGGTGAATAAAGTGAAAAGTGTCAGAGATGAGGGTGGGTAATCCACATGATTTATCTATAATCCGTATGCCTTTGCCCCTTTTAAAGCAGATGTCTTAAAATGTTTTACATTTAAAAATGAGCACTTCAGTTCTATGTTCTTGTTTGTAACATTTATTTTATGCTCATTTCAGTACATATCAGGCTTACGACTGAGACATCCACATTCATATTGTTTTAAAGATGAATAGGGAAATACATTGTAAATGTTTACTGAATTTATTTGAAATATCATGTAAAGTGGAAATGGAACGATTTCTGCTTTTTATCCATCTGCTCTTTTTAAAGCATACTGTAATTTGATGCTTAACCCTTCCAGATTTGATTGCTCAACACTCAGTGTGGCTAGTGAGGGAACAGCAGCTCGCTAATGAGGCCAGCCCTGTGTTCTCTCCTCTAATCAGGAAGATCCATTTGTTAGATGCACAACAACAATGTTGCATATTAGCAGGCCTTTAGATTATTAGACACAATTCTCCCCCATGCTGTTCGTGTGGAAGGAAGAATCTTTTAGATTATTTGCATTCAACTCACAGGCTGAAAGAAAGCAATATTCTAGTGTATGGACAACATTACTCTGGAATACTAGACATTCTGAAATATGAAAATATGAAACAATGAAATATAAAACCATGAAATATGTTTTCTACCTGTAGTTTGTTAAAAAAAAAAACATTTCTAAGCTTGTGTGCTATGAGGTTTTTTATTTTCCTGTCTGCTCAGTTTTTCACACAGACCCGGATGACCAGTCGTCCAGTGATGATGAAGGAATGCCCTATACCAGACCTGTGAAATTCAAAGCTGCTCATGGTTTCAAGGGTCCCTATGACTTTGAGCATATCAAAGTGGTACAGGATCTGAGTGGAGAACATATGGTAATATTCGCGTCTACTAACAACTATAAGATTATAAAGTACTGGCCAGTCATTTAATGTACTGTTCTCATTTCTTTTAGGGAGCTGTGTGGACCATGAAGTTTTCTCACTGTGGGCGGCTGCTTGCCTCAGCTGGACAGGACAATATTGTCAGAATTTGGGTTCTCAAAAATGCTTTTGATTATTTTAATAACATGAGGATCAAATACAACACAGAAGGCAAGACATTGCTAAATGATTTGGTTTTCAGTGAGACCAGCAAATCCCATTTGTTTTAAGAAGACTCTATTGTGTTTCTCACTAATTCAAGTGGGGTTTTTTTTTTTCTTTAGCCGACATTATCATAAGGTGTCAAGTCGTTCCAGCAGCCATGGTTTTCATAAACTGCATTTATGATGGTTAACTAGCCTGAAATAGCTGAATGCAGTTTGTATCTATAATATTAGGCTGTATCTGTACTATAATGCAGGTGGTTCTGGATGTGCATTAGGCCCAAGGGGCAAAAAGGAATGATTTATATGGCACTGCCTAATATCCTAAAAAATTAAATAATATAATATTTATTATTTTTTTTAGATCTGTGATGGAAGTGAGACATGCTAATGCCTTTGGTTTTAAGAAGGTTCTAATGCCCCTTTCGCTAGCTAATAAGGTGGAGGGCTTTTTTAGTTCTTTTTAGCCCCAACCACCAGAAGGGGTGTTTAGTTATTACCACCCGTGAGCAGCACAGTAGTCATATCGCCAAATCGGACTCCAAATGTTCTTAGAATAGCAGAGGCAGCAGTGCCCTAAATCTCAAGCTGAAGATATACAGCTATGAGGCTTACCTGGGGACATTCACATACCAGGAAATACACTGATATTTTTTCAGGAGGAATTCTAAACAAAAGGTAGATTTTTCATGGTACTGCTTAGGCACAATAAATATTTCTAGATGTTTCCTAGAACATGGACAATTTCACTTTTAGGCTCACTTCAGTGCCCTCACCCGGTTTCCAGGCTGTTCTGATTGGGCAGAGCTTTGGCATTTCTTGGTAGTGTCGACGTTCACATGTTGGGACACATTTTTGTGAAAGCAGCTGTAGTGTTCATAATTCTAGTTCTCATTCTGATATATGAAAATTAATTTTTTTACAGAAAGACATTTCAGATTACAGATACCATATTATTCCTTATTGATGGAAACAAATGAGTGGTCGCTGTTACTGTGTTTTGTAGGTTTATTATTCTGGATGGAAATGTGTTTTGTAGTATCGTTCTTCAGCCTTCTGAATTGTCTTTTATTTATGACCTTGAAATGTTTTATGACATTTTTGCCCTCTTCTTTATTTTATGCACATTTTATGCACATTTTCAAAGTTTGATTAGTAGCACTACATTAACAGGAATATTATGAGGCTGAAAAACAATTTGAGAATATTCATACAATCAAATGTGTAAAGATTCACTTTAATTATCCAGTTGTGCAGAGAAAATAAGTAAACAGGAATTTTCTTTTCACATGATTTCATAATTGAATGGCATTTTCACACATTCAATTCTTTTAAGTAAATCATCCTCATGTCTTAACCTGTTTTTATTGTTTCTCATTTTAGGGCGAGTATCTCCTTCACCATCTCAGGAAAGTCTTAATTCTTCCAAATCTGATACAGATGGTGGGGTATGTATCTCCGGGTACACAGGTTACACTGCATTTCCCCTAAATATTCTTTTGGCTGGAAAACTAAGCTGTATTATCTTTACTGGGGATGCACCGATACCAGTTTTTCGGTATCAAGTATGAACACCGATTTTTTTTTTTTCCTCTACTCCCGATACTGAAAACTGATACCGGAAGTCCCATGTAATGGCTTACCAGCCAGTTTCCTGATTAGCCATGGAGCCCGCTATCTGGCCAATTAGGAAGCCGGGGGTGGGTAATGACTCTTCCCCTCTTGCTTCCTGATTGTCTGGGAAGCCAGCTCCCTGTTGACGAGGGAGCATGGAGCCAGCTTCCCGGCCTATCAGGAAGGCGGGCAGCGTGTGATGACCCGCTGTCCGGATTCCTAATACCGAAAAGTTCCATTATTGGGTTAAGTATCGGGAGTATTAAGTCTACTACGAGTACTCTCCCAAATACTCGGTATCCGTATTGGTGTATCCCTAATCTTTACTTTCTAATTACCTTGGCAATGAGAATTTAATGTATGCTCCTCTATCTACTGTCAGAATACTTGCAGCTGATTTGGCTGCAATCTCCATTCATCCGATAATTTTCCAACCGGCTTCTTTGATCAGCTGATGGAAGGGTGCTGAGAGTGGTTCCCACTGTGCAATTTTTGGCCGGTTTATCAAGAACCAGCCTACTTGAAATACATTTAATGCACATATATAATCTCATAGGAAGATTGTTGTTAAATTTGTGTTACCTATAGCGTCACACTTCCTTTCTTCCATTCATGAATCCTTCACTGCACTTCTTCTGTGCAAAACCAAATCTCCATAATTTGAAAAGACGTATTTGAACAGTAACTTAAAATATTGCTAACCCGGACCCTTTGATAAATGAGGCCCAGTGAATCTCTCTGTGGCCATACTGTCTTACCTCTGTAGGCTTTTTGGGAAAGTGTTTTTCTTTTTTCTTTTTGTCTTATTGGATTTACTTTTGCAGGCTTACAGTGGAGCAGATGATATGGACTCAGATGATAAAAATGCACCGTTTCGTCCGGTGCCGTTCTGTAAATACAAAGGACACACAGCTGACCTTCTCGACTTGTCCTGGTCCAAAGTAAGTTCATACGTTACAGCAATATTGGCTCTTCAGTCACATGTGACTTTTAAAGCTTATTGAGTGAAAATTGTGAATTGGTGCCATTGCTTATAGCAAGCAGTGACTCCGCTGGGTTACAGTATTTATGATTTAGCACTTTTATTATTAGTCTATTAGTTTCTTCTGATGAGGCTCATAATAGAGTTTCGTTCTTAACTTTGAAATATCCTTGTTTTCTGAACATCTGCTGCTTTATATAGTCCTCAGACACAAGGGTAATGCAATGGCATGTAATGTATGTCACCTAAGTTATTTAAGTTTTTGTTAAACGCTTTTATTGTTCTTCAAGCTTAGTGCGTGGCTCTTTTGAAATGTTAGTCTTAAATGGGGTTTACAAGATCAGACAGATTGTGGAAGCTTCTTCTACATTAACAATATAGAGGCGCATTAAAATAATAGAATGGCCACACTGGCATTTGCTAGTGCTGAAGGCCAGATGGCTGGTAGTTTTAGGCCTAATTCTCTCTCTACTCTGTAAAATAGCTGGCACCTTTTATGAACACTTTGGCTGCACTGAATCCTTCACTGCACATCTGTTCATATAAAACCAAATCTCCATGTTGTTGTTCAACTAAGCTTCCATTATACCTGCAATGATGCTAGTAATAAGTACTGGTCTCTCCATGGTGGTGTTGTCAACTCCTTAATTTCTGTGTATTTATCACTCAAAAATCAATTCTACCAATGCATCCCTCTATGTATGATGATTATTAATAACATAGACATATCTGGTGTAAAATACTGTGATTGGGAAATACTTACACTTGCAGAGCATTCACTTCGTGTTTTGAAAGGGCAAAATGACTTGAGTTTGCCAACGCAATGCACACTGGGATTGCCTTGTCATCAGCAGAGCATTGCTGGGAAATCTCATCTGTAATCTCATGATATCTCGGGGGGGGGGGCATTTTCCTCCCCCGAGATGATGTGCATAGTGATATGTCCTAGTCACATGTCCCAGAAATCCAGGAAGTAAAAGGAGAGCTAGTAATCTGCCTTTAGTAAACATGGCCACTGTCAGAAGACTGGGGAAGAAAAGAGAAATAAGATATGCAAAGAATACAAAGCCGGCAATTCTCTAGAAGTATGTGTTTGTAGATTGTCATTGCTAAATATTTTTAAAGGTGTATTTATTGTTATTTTCAAGATATGGGTAAAGGACCGCTTTAATAGCATTTAGGTGTGGATTACATGGAGATTTCTGATGATGGACAATATTAATATAATGCATTTCTTTCTAATGGAAAAAGTGTGGTACTATTCTTCTTTCCAATTCTAGTTTCCAGCAGCTTCTCTGTTTTTGTGTCCCAAATAATTTGCTGGATAGGGTAACTCCTACATGCAAAGCAAATGGAGAGTGTTGCTTTAGCTGCCAAATTCCTAGTATAGATTAAAGCTAAATATTACACCACACTGAAGAACCTCAGCAGGTTGATGGACAGGAAACCTAAACAGGGGGATCTTATTATGAGATAAAAGTAAATGTGAAATTCAGCTCTTTCAGATACAACAAACTGAAATTTGTTTTGTGTGAACTGACACTTTTAAGAGGGGAAATTGTTTGACGTTTATAAATGTGCCACAGACATTTACCATTGAGTAGCATGAGCTGTTCTTTGTCAGCCTGTCTACTTATATTGAATACGTGAAGTGCTTCCTGAGAATGCACTCCATCATAGAAGCCTGTCATACTCTCTAGCCATTCATTACCTGAACTGCTGGACTGCTTGTTCCTCCCACTCCTCCAACACATGGGTCAGTCTCTACTTTCGTATTGCTTACTAGTGACCCTGATTCAGTGACCTATTAGTCATAATCCTTTTCTGATTTTTTTTTTTTTTTTTATATTTTTGTTATTTTTATACATTTAGGTATTAGATTATTAACTCCAAAGAGCAGGTCCTCATCCTTTTGATTTCTGTTATGTTCTGCAATTACAGTGTATTTATTTTTGCTTTTATAAAGCACTGAACAAGTCCTGAGGTAGAACAGTAAATACATATGGAAGCTGCTCATTTACTTGCATAGGGCAGGTTTTTGTTGTCCTCTATAATCAAAGCTTACCTTACATAACCTCCCCTATTTTCAAAGACCACATTCTCATTTGAATTGGCTGTTGCAACAGATGAAAAGATCAGCTGTAATTCAGCTGAACACTCTGCATTAAGTAGTGAAGATGCAGTATTTAATCAATACGCTGGCAGAATAAAACAACACTACAATCATTATTTTTGTCTGTACCATACTTAACAGTCATTCTTTTTGTCCGAAAAGTCAATTTTGCTGCCTAATTATAGTGAGCAGTCCAAAGGTTCTGGTTAAATGGCAGTTATGCCTTAGCCTGGCCCCTCCACTGGTAATGATCCCTTTTGCAGCGCATAATCAGAAAGTTGACTAGACTCTGGTTCCTGTTGTGTAAGACAACACATGTTGTATTTTAAAGAGCTGAAAATGATATCTGCTATTCTTACCCTTACAGAATTACTTCTTACTTTCATCATCAATGGACAAGACAGTTCGTCTATGGCACATATCCAGGAGGGAGTGTCTGTGCTGCTTCCAGCATATAGATTTTGTTACTGCAATAGCTTTCCATCCGAGGGTAAGTAAGCCAACTTCCTTTGTAAGTGAACCCTGAATGCCAGGCCAGATATAAAAAACAAAAATGTATTTTGTATATTTACCTGGATTTGACTGTACAGTATCTGTCAGACTAAAGCTGGCCATACCCCTATAGAGTATCTGCAGATTTTCTATGGTCAGATGGAAAAAAATGCAACAGATTCCTCCATCTACACTTAACTGCATGTATGTAGGAATCTCCCACCTGGCCAAGCTTCAGTATCTTGCTAGCTGGCTCTCAGAATACCTGAGCAATGCCTGCATCCAATCAGATTGTTCAGTTATCTTTACAGGCAGCGTGGCCGACTAGCAAGATACTGAAGCTTGGCCCAGTGGGAGGTTCCTCCATCCATACAGTTTAGCGTAGATGGAGGAATCCGTTGCACTTTTTCCCATCTGACCATAGAAAGTCTGCAAATCTATAAGTGTATGGCCAGCTTAAGAGTGGGACGCTAAGCACCAATCAGGCTTGGTTAAATGTGTATATGTGCTCCAAATGGAAGTAGTGGTGAGGTGCTGGACCTGGTGGTTATCCATTCATAGGAAGAAAAGAGTCTTAAGCAAGGCCTAAAACGGAGCTCAGCAGCTCTACACAAGGTGGAGGGCCCTCCCAGTACCTGGCTTGAGAAATCCACAAGTAATTGAATCAGAAAAGAGTGCCGAGAAATGTCTCGGGAAGCCAAAGATGTATTTTATTGATCAATGTTATCACAAAGACAACAGAAAGCAGTCAACACAGTTCAGGGGACAAATAATCCCCCTTCATCGGGGCTAAAAAGAAACAAATATGTATAAGCAACAGGCAGATTTTTAAAACATTTTTATTACGATTCACTTAAGGAGAGACACGACCATGTAATGACGAGAAATGATGTGTGCTGCTGCTGCTCGTTTATTGTTTAATTACAGGCTGGGAGCACTGAGGTGTACAAAATTCTATTGTATAATTGGAGTACAGAAAAGTCAGATCAACGATTTTTAGCTGTGCTGTGTTTATCGAGGGCTTGATGGGCTGAAATGCAAATTCTTTGGCCAGTAAAACAGCCCACATATGTTTAGTGTGTATGTAGTTATTCCCTGGAGTTTGGCTCTAAACAAAATGAAAGCGGGCAATCTGGTAATTTTTTTCATGTTTTGGGAGAGTGAACAAATCCCCCCAAGTTGGAGTTCTTTTTCTTAAAGTAAACCCGAAGTGTCATCTGTTTTGACAACCCAGCACTCAACACATAGCAGGCACCTCTGAGTGTCTGCACATCAGGTTCTCCCTTACTGTAAGCAACCCAGGCACCCAGCATGCTCTAGTGGTTCATCCCCATTACATTCCTGCATTGATGGGTCTGATCCTGTTTCCTAAAATGTACTGTTGGTCACACTAATGGGCCAAAATGTGGCTTAGGAGAGAGGGTTAGATGGGGCATGTTCCCACCCATCAACTCGGGTAGTTGCATTTCTTTGTTTGGATCAAGTAGGTGCATAGATCTTCATGTTTGCTTTAAGTTCCAATACACAAGCACAGTAACTTATAGTAGCCAATCAGAATTTGCTCTGCTGATGTTAAACTAGTGCAAATTGATTATAATGACAGATGGGTAACCCAAGTAATTCCACCATGTCAATTCAAGTAAAAATGATTTCTTGACTTTTGAAGACCCATTGACACCACATCTTTTGGGCTGCTTGCTCAACCCAGGCCCAATGCCATGACAAGTTGACATCGATTGTTTCCAATAGGCCCACTTCATACCATCACTCTCCATTGATGTTCACTGGGTGGAAATTGAACGTATTGCCAAGTACTATAATGCGCCACAGCACTTTGAAAAGAACCTACAGGAAAACGAATATTGGCTTCTGCTGTGGGGAAAAAACACACATCAAAGCAATGCAGTGCGCTAAAAGAAATAGATGTCAACCCAAGTGCATTAAACTTACGTGGTGTGAATCCAGCCTAAACTAATACATAAAGGAAATCTGGTTTCCATATATTTTTGCCTGGAAGTCCCTCTTTAATTAGAGAAAAGTGAACAAATTGGGAGATGTCAGATTCAAGTGAAAAGACTTGTAATACCTGGGATAATCTCTGCAAATGAGGCGTCATCAGTGTGTCAGCTCAGGCATTCCTCTTTAAAAAGAAACTTCAAGTTAAGAAAGGTGATTAAAGTAACATTTCTGTTCATTAAAAAGAGCTGTCAGGATCCTCTGCTTAATTCACTTCTTACTAACAGTTCTTGGTCCTCAATCAGGGATGAATCGCTTTTGCTTATGTCCGGGGTTAATATAATGGCTTATTTTTGAATGTGCAATTTGTTGTGCGATTGAATCCATGATTAAGAAAACAATTCTGTTTCATCCCCAGTGGAGTCTGTGATGCAGCATTTTCTCTGTCTCCCAGTCAGGTGAATGTGGAACTTAGTCATGTTCTTGGAGTGTGACGACTAAATTGCGGAAATTCTATGCGCGTCACTAGGTTATAGTTAATGACTATTCGCAGCAATAGCCTCCCACTGTCTTTTTAAGAGCTTCTTTATATAACTCTGTTTATTGGAGCGCTCCAGCTTGTTTTTGAAAAACAAATCTCTTTTATTGTAAAAACATTGATTTTAATTGTAGTAAAACATAGTTTTGTTGTTGTGTGCGTAACACCATGTTTATAATACTTTAATGCATGCTCGCTGTCTGGACTCGGCTGGAGCTCATTTTATTAGTAGCTATAAAAGAGTTCGTAATTGCTCACAAAATGATTCTTCTATTTTGTTGCATCGGGGGATCACTGTTTCAGTGTTGGGAAAGTGCAGATTGCTAATAAAACCATGATGATGATGATGATATAGATTGTCTGCGCTTGCATGCAACATATTTAAAAGGCATGTTTATGTACATAGCAAAAATCAAGATGACTTGATAATAGCATATGTTACTTACTTTGTTCCCTTTTGCCTATACAAGCTAATACTTAGAGGCTAGAGGTAGAGTCATAGATATCTTCCCTGAGAGGCAGGTGTTTAATTGGACCCAAGCTGTCCTAAAATGACATTGAGAAGGACTTTGTAATACTTTGCAACTGCTCAGGGAGCCTCCTGGTTGGCAGCACCTCAACACAACCTCAATGGGTGGGTCATGTGCACTCAAAGGGCAGGACAGTGTTAAAGTGAAAACAGCAATTGACTTCTTGTTCCTCAACATCAACCTTTTGACAGAGAGAATGTGTGTGTTTGCATCTAGATAGAGCCAGTTGGTACGTTTTATGGTTTGTCTTTATGGGGCAGGAATAAGGTTTTGTTTTTTTTCTTTTTTTGCTTCCTCATATTTTTTTAGTGGCACAATCTACTTTCAACTTCTGTGTTTCCCTGTGATATTTGGTTGACCGAGTCTAGTTCTTTACTTTAGCATAGCATCTTTAACATAGAACAGGCTGTATGATTAAAGGAGAACTATGAGGTGAGTGAAAATCTCTCATCCTCCTAGTTCGAGCCGATGTGTGACAATGAAATTCTCACAGGTCGGCTCTATTGATCGGGAAGTGAGGGAACACATACTGTAGCTCGCGATATACTAAACTGTGCGTCATGGGAGGACGCTAGTATATGTCCCCCCGTGACCCTTAACTGCCTCCGGGCCGGCTGTAGTTAAAAAAACGGCCGGCCGGGAGCTCTCTAGATCTGAGCGGGACGTCTTTAGACGTCCGCTCAGACACGCCCCCCTCGCGCGCACCCAGCGGGTAATGGCAGATATTTAAAAACAGTTTTTTTTAAGTTACACATAAAAAAGAAACTTTTTTTTTTTTAAAGTCCCTACCCATACATACACAAATGCAAACATGCGTCGGGGGCACATACGTGCAAAAAAGACTTGCGCCCATTACGCCGCACATGTTACATATCGCCGCGATTGTCGGAGTGAGAGCAATAATTCTAGGGCCATCAATCACTGATAACACTAAACTGATGAGCGGTAAAAGCTTTTAAAGTGTCACCTATGGCCAATTTTGGGTATGGTAGTTTTCTGCGATGTCGCGGGTGCGCGCAATTTTAAAGCTTGACATGTTTGGTGTCTATTTACCCGACGTGACCCCGACTTATATTTTACAAAAAAAAATGGGTAATAATAAAGGTTTCCTAACATAATGAAAAATTTCAAAATTTTCAGTAATGTTTCCTAATTATAGTAAAAAATAAAACCCCAGTGGTGATTTAAATACCACCAAAAGAAAGCTCTATCTGTCCCCAAAAAATGGTATAAAATTCATTTAAGTACAGCGTTGCATGACGGAATAAACGTCAGTCAAAGTACCGCAGCGCTGAATACTGAAAAATGGCCTGGCCAGGAAGGGGGTTTAAACACCTGGTCTGGAAGTGGTTAAGAGAACTATGGGGAAAAACACTTACCCCATAGTTCTCTTTTAAGCACAAGTTTACGTGAAACGAAATGTTGGTCTGAAATATTTGCTGTATGCGGATGGATGGATTAAAGGTTGAGAGCGGCCACATACATCCGGTGAGCTGAGTTATGTGGACCGACCTGGAGGAGCACTAATTGTTTGCCTTTTGTTGCTGGCGCATCTCCCTACATAAGGGTTTGACTACATATAGCACAGTTCTCCAGGTTGGCCTTTAAAGTATATATCAGTAGTCTGTGAACATATTTATATCAAAAGATGGAGTCCTATCACCCTATATTGTGCAGGGGTGTGGAAATTTAAAAAAAAACTACTTGTCCAAGGGCTAAAGTGGGGGCCAAATCTACTTGTCCTTCACGACAATCTACTTGTCCCAATACAAAAAATAGTTTTAATCAAAACTAAGGATGCACCAATACCGGTTTTTCGGTATCGAGTACGAGTACCGATTTTTTTTGCTTTCGGATCTCGCCGACACTGAATACTAATACCGGTGCTTCCGCTGACATAGAGCAGGCTCCCCTGGTAATCAGGAAACCGGGCAGCAGGTAATGACATCCCGCCCAGGTTCCTGATTGCCACGGAAGCCGGCTCCATGTTGTTTGGCCTGCTTGATTGCGATTGGCCGGGAAACCTGCTTCCCGGTCAATCAGGAAGCCGGGTGGCGAGTAATGACCTGATTGACCGGGAAACTGGCTCGATGCTGATTGGCCAGGAAGCCGGCTTTCCAGCCAATCAGCAAGGAGCCGGCTTCCCGGGCCATTCAGAAAACCAGGAGGCGGGTCATTACTTGCCGCACGGCTTCCTGATTGCACGGGAAGCTGGCTCCATGTTCCCCTACGGCACTGCCAGTCAGAGGAAATTTTCATCTGGCCGTAAGTTCCAATATCGGGGAAGGTATCGGAGCATTTGGGTGAGTACGAGTACTTGCCCAAATACTCGGTATCAGCACCGATACTAGTATCGGTGCACCCCTAATCAAAACATATTTGTGCTAAATAGTGCTTTTCACTGCTCAGCGCAGTCATCTGACCACGTTGACCAGTGAGTGCTTGCAATTTGCGAGCGAAATTCAAAATGCATAGGGGAGGACTGCGCTGGACAGCAGTACGGGGGACAGATAGTACACCCATACTGGTGGAGGGGAGGGATTGTTCGCCGAAAGGTAAGTATAGCCAGGGGGGTGGCGGTTTGGGAGAGACAGGGCCAGATTTCATCGGGTAATTTTTATTTTTCCATATTACTTGGGAAAATGAACTTACCCTTTTAATGCACATTATGTGTGTGTAAAAGAATTCTGGCTACCACCATGGAATGGCGGCTGCAATCTCAAAGCACATGCAGAATGTCCTATGCATGCGTTTATTTGCATGCAGATGGCGGGGGCAGCAGGGTTTAATTTTTATTTTTTTTTACTTTTTCATTTTTTGAATCTTTATATATTTTATCTTTTTTTTTACTTTATTTATTGACTTTTTCCCCTTTTAATGTTCTTCCTATTACATAGGAGATTAAAATCCCTTATGTGATAGTTTGGAGGTGACAGGTTCTCTTTATGGAACCTGCCCTCCAACACAGAACAGCTGTTCTGTGTAGTTCCTGACAGCCGAGACAGGTGGCGCTGTGATTACAGCGCCACGGTCTCAAAGAACACACAGAGAGCCCGTGGGCTCTATGGCTGAGCCATTGTGCCTTAGTTTTCGGTGTCCCCCGGAGAGCGGGCGACCCCCGAAAACTATGGCGGGGGGTGCGTGCAGAAACGATCGCCGCTGCTCAAATTAATACAAGTGGTCTGATCGGACCACTTGTATTAAACGAGCGGCGGCGGCTCCACAATGTACATTCAGCTCTGCTTGTCCGGAGCCGGGCTGAATGTACTTTAAAACTACTCGCCCGGCGCCCGAAACTGCATGTCCCGGGCGTCGGGCGATAGGAATTCCACACCCCTGTTGTGCATAGTTTTGTTGACCAGGCTATTGTGGTTCAGCCACTGTTCCCTCCATGCGATGAGTGATTAATTTAGAGAGCTATTAAATACCCATTGTGTTCCTCCTGCTGAGACGTGACACCAGAAACTTTGACTTGTAATGACTGCAGTGACCATATAGAAGTAAATTGTATTTTTTTTTTCTGTAGGATGACCGATACTTCTTGAGCGGCTCCTTGGATGGGAAACTCCGACTCTGGAACATTCCTGACAAAAAGGTTGCCTTGTGGAATGAAATTGATGGGCAGACGAAGCTCATTACTGCTGCAAACTTCTGTCAGAACGGCAAACATGCTGTGATCGGCACATATGATGGCCGCTGCATCTTCTATGATACAGAGGTAATGCTTTGTCTCAACGACTTTCAATATAATGAGGGTCCTCTGCTGATGTCCATTTCTGTCTCTGCTTGTGCTACTATACTTTTAGGGTTTATGACTTTACTGATTGTAAAGCGGGAACATTTTGGTCTCAAGGGGAAGTGTGTTTGCAAGTAAGCATTTCCACAATTGGCTAAAATGTCTGGGTAAATATCCTTTTACGTGCAGGGGGTATGAGTTAGGCCTTGTTCACACCAAATGCAGAGCAGATCCGGTCAGGTTTCTGCACACGCACGCTAGTCATTTAGATGCGTTTTTGGCTACAAAAATATATATATTTTTTAGTTTAACATGGGCTTTCAGTGTGTTCCAGGCATTTGCATGTGTTTTTGATGCGTTTGCAGATACAGAGCAGGTAAAATAGGGCCTGCTGCAGTTTTTTTTACCTGCTCTGGATCTGCACCCTGCGATGTGAACTGGAGCTAAAAATACCATTGGAATACATTGGACGCAGTTTTGATCCGGTCTGCACCTGCTCTGCTCTGCACCTGCTCCGCGCTTGGTGTGAACTAGCCCTTAGGGCTCGTGTACACGGGATTCAGACTTTGAAGCAAGTGTAATGCATTATGCTGTTATGCCACTCATGGACGGTTGAAAAAAAAAACAGATGTGGTAGTACTCTTGTATTTACTCTCCTCTGCACTCCTTGCAGCATCTCCAACACCCATTTTCCTCTTTCTGATCACAACAATATCAGTTTGCCCTGACCTGGTCACTTCTCTGTACAACAGCTCACTCTCTCTTCCTCCCTGAACACACTTGCTCCCTACAGACATTGTGAGGCCCCGACCTCTACAGCCCTGGAAAACAGACGACACCAGAAGTCTGAGAAAACATAACCACGCTAATTAGCAAGTGTGGTGTAAAACTAGGTCCCTTCAAGAGTTTGTCCTGTATAAATCTGCCTTCCTAAAATATAATTTCTCCCTCCAATGCTGCCCATTTCATCACTCTCCTTAGCACCCTCTCATCCAGTCCTAGTCAACTTTTTTCTGCTTTTAACTCTCTATTTCGTTCCTTACTGCCTCCAACTATGTCATTCACTGCCTAGGCCAATCAATTCAAAGTCAAGATGGCTGCAATTCATGATAAGATCTCCACTGTGCAGTTATCGCCCCAATTAACATGCCATGTCTACCATCACATTTGATATGTTACTCTTTTGACCCCGCCATTACAGAGGAGATGGCTACAAATTTTATCTGACACTTGCCTTACTACCTTCTCCCTAGACCCCGTTCCCTCACAACTACTCCAGTTTCCCTCTTGCTTTATCTTACACTCTCTTACACACCTCTTTAATTTTTCTCTCTCTACTGGCATCTTGCCCTCTCCTGTAAAACATGCACTGATCACTCCCCCCATACTTAAACACCTCACTGGATTCCACCAGCCTGAGTAATTGAAGACCTCCTTCTGTCCATTATGAGTGCTGTTGCCCGACTCCCCCAACCTTACCCAACCTTTCATTGTCTGCCAATCCCTCCACTGGCTACTGATCACCCAACCAAACAAAATTCAAAATCCTAACAACCTCATACAGAGCCATCCCCAACTCTGCCCACAGCTGCATCACCAACCTCATTTTCAAATCACCCAAACTGTCTATTTTGCTCCTCCCCAGACCATCTACTCTCTAGCTCCCTCGTCACCATCCATCAGGAATTCTTCAGAGCCTCTCCTGTCCACCGTCGTTCTACCCCAACCTGTAAGGCTATCCGTCCACCTTTAGGCGATCCCCTAAAAACTCCTCTTTTGGTCGGGAAGCTGGCCAATCAGGAAGCCGGGCAGCGAGTCATTACCCACCCCCGGCTTCCTGATTGGCCAGAAAATCGGCTCCATGCTTCATCACCTGGTGACGAGGGAGCATGGGGACTGCTTCCCGGCTAATCGGGAAGCCCGGGGGAGCAAGTTATTACACGCCTCCCGGCTAGTCAGGAAGCCAGGTGGTGAATCATTGCATGCTTCCCAGCTAATCGGGAAGCCAAGGGGCAAGTCATTACACACTGCTTGGCTTCCTTAATGGGACTATCGGTATTTTTGGTATCGGCAAGTACCGGGGAAAAAAATATCCGTACTCGATACCGAAAAACCGCTATCAGTGCATCCCTAGTTGCCGCTATATAAATTCTGTATATTAACAGTAATGTCAACTTTTTTCAATGCACTGCATATATGTGAACTACCACCATTAAAACAATGGCAAAATTCTGCACATGTGTTAACATGCACTAAAAAGCACACTTTAAACTGCATAGGGGTTAATAGGCCCTTATAGTTCTGTATATTTGTTACTTTTGTTTATTTCGCATATTGTGTTTTTTCCTTTTTTTTTCAGCATTTAAAATACCACACGCAAATCCATGTGCGTTCCACTAGAGGGCGAAATAGGGTCGGAAGAAAAATCACTGGAATAGAGCCATTGCCTGGAGAAAATAAGGTGACCTTTCCTCTGTTCACTGTTTTATCATTCACCAACTCCTGCCTAGAACACAGACTTTCTTCTCATTTCTGACTTGATGGTTTCTTTTGGCTATTCCAGATCTTGGTAACCTCTAATGATTCAAGAATTAGGCTGTATGATCTAAGAGATCTGTCTTTATCCATGAAGTACAAGGGCTGTGTGAACAGCAGCAGTCAAATAAAGGCAAGCTTCAGGTAAGTTATCTTGCTTAAATTGAGAAATCTGTGTAGAAATTGCATTCATGAACTGATTGAACTTGGGGATGATGGAGCATTTTCAGCAGAAATATAGGACGTCCTATAGAAGTTTAATAAAAGGAGATATATAGGTGTTGCCCATAGCATCCAGTTGTTATGCCTGCTTTGAATCTTCTTCCTTCTTCCTCTTTTTTCTTCTTTTTCTTCTTTCTTCTTCTTTTTCTTCTTGCAACTAGTGCTTCCTGCCTCCCATTGTCCCTGGAACATCAGCTTTCTGACAAGGAAAGTTTCCATCAGTACTACATAGTGTACAGTGCATTGTATATGGTGACAGGAGAATGAGGGAACCTCATTAGTGTGCTGCCATACTTTGATGTTCATTCATCTAGCCTGGGTTGTGTTCATGATGAAGCTGTACTGCTGCAGTAGAGCCTCAACTCCTGCATTGTGCCTGCACAGCAGCTAGAAGACCTCAATAAGCAACATGACACATAGTTTTGCAAGTGTGCATGCATGCATGCACTATTAATATTTTTCACTCTGAAAATGTTTGGGGGGAAAAAAGGATTTATTTATGCGACAGTCACAAGCAGGACCCTTCTAACCCTCTTAAATACAGGTGTGTTTTAACAGTATTGTCTCCCTTTATTCTTTAAAGTCCCGTACACAAACTGTTTGCATTATATCCATTTTGTCTAATACTAATTACATATTGACTATCCAGTCTTCATTTTTGGAGTTTTGGTTAGTAGCCTTTGCTTTCTGTTCACTCAATTCGTTCCTTTTTCTGTGCCTGGCCACTTTTTTTGTTTTTCTTTGGTTGACGCAATACATTAGGCATTGCATGTGTGTACAGCAAATAGATTGTCAATGCATTTCACAGTAACTTCAAAAGAGAACAATTGCTTAGCCTTTTACACTGAGCATTGCACTAAAAAAACCTGAAGCAATAATGAAAGTATAATCCAGTATAGAATATGTAATGTAGTACATTTCATATCAGATATGAATGAGTTACTTTATGAAAGTAATAGAATTTTTGCAAAGAAAGAAAATACAGGTGCTCTGTGCATGTAGTGTCCCCTAGAGCAGGACTGTTCATTCATGGAGGATGTTCTTGAAAAACAGTGTTGTAGATGCACATACACCATAATGCAGTTTACCCCACCAATCAGGGGCACATACTTCACAAGGGCAATGCTGTTTGTCTTATAATGATCTGTTCCTTACAATGTTCAGTCCAGTTTGGATCCCTTTTTTCTATTTTACAGCCATGATTATACGTATATTGTTAGTGGTTCTGAGGATAAATATGTTTATACCTGGAGTACGTACCATGATCTAAGCAAGTTCACCTCTGTAAGAAGAGACCGCAATGACTTCTGGGAGGGTATAAAAGGTACGTTATCATATCCTCTTGTGTATAATGTAAAATGCTGCAGGTTTATGGTAGCACGTGTCAAAATATAACTTGTGCTGGAGACGCGTTTGTTGTATTTGTAGCCAAGGTTCTATGCAATTTTTTTGCCATAAAATAATGTTGCTACTTTCTACATCAAGCGCAAATTTTTGTTTTGTCATTTTAAGAGCAGTGATATTTCTTTCTTTATTGAAGTACACCCAAAGTCTTTAAAGTAATAATAAACTCTCAAACTTGGTTCAATAATTAATCCAGGTCAAACCAATATGATCACTGTAAGTGCTTGGGCAAATATTTTAAGAAATATTTTGCTGGGCAATGTATGCTTGCCCAGCACATACAGTGCAACAACAGCTGGCTCCAACTCTCTCAGCTCTGCTTCCCTAAACCTGTCGAGTACAAGCTCACAAGGTAAAGCCCAGTCTCTAGCAGCTTTCCATCTACTAGCTTGGGGAAGTGAGGAGCAGGGGAGTTGCCTGCCTTGCCCTGCTGTGTGTAGGTTGAGACACAGAACTTTGAATAGCACATACACAAAGGGTGGCTCCATAGGAACCTTGCAAGAGAAAGAGCCAACCCTGCTGGACCGGACAGTGCAGGGATAGCCTGGAAGTGACCTTTGGGCACTGGGTTCCCTGTGGGGTGCTTTCCAGACTGGTCTAGTAATAGGTGGCTGCAGAGCACTTTCTAGATCTTTAGCCAATGGCCTTGCCTCAGCACTTGCTCTGTTTCTGAAGACTTGATTAGGTCACTGGGAACCAATATTCCCAGTTTGCCACCAGTTTTGCCACGGAAGAAGTTAACACTGGAGGACTTGGGTGCTGATGTCATCCACTGGGTGGAATGTCCCGTTCCTATGTTCTGCACTCTTCCCTGCCACACATTGTCGAGAAAGCATCTCCCAGCTACTGTTCCTACTTGCACAGAAATACATGGAATTTCCATCTTCAATCTGTTCCTGCTGCCTACCTACAAGCTGGAGCTTCATTCCTTACCCCCTTTGTTTCCAGGTACAAGAACCTCTAGCTGAGGCAGTGGATTCTCTGATGGCTCAGTTGGATCAGTACACCCTGATCAATGCATTTGCTGGAACTTCTTAGCTGCTCCTCAGGATTGAGATGAAGGGCAAGTCCAGGCATCCTCATTGCTCTGGCCTGACTTGGGAGGATGTTGTATGCCAACCTAGTACCATTCCTGGCAGATATCTGTGGGCACTGCCAGATTGTAGGGATCCTTTTCCCAAATTGTGATTTGTCATCCAGCTTCTTGGTCACTGGCTTTAACGGCATGGCTGTTGATGCCTAATTTCTGAGAGACCGGGCACTTCCAAGTCTGTGATTCATACAATGCCAAAGCTAAGCAGTCTACTTCCTGCAAGGTCCATCTTCTGACTTCGAAAGCATACGTCACTTGGTGTGAGTTTTGTGGCTTCCGCCACAGTAGTTTCTTCATGGTATGAATCGTCTTTCCTGCAGCTGGGTTGAAGCTAGTGTTTGGCTCTCGGCACTATGCAGGGTCCGGTTTTTCTGTCGTTCCTCAGTGACTCAATGGGACCTGAATCTGCTTCTCTCTGTGCTTCTGGAACCCCTCCCATCATTGGCTGGCCTACAGATTATTATTTGTTTGGCGTTGTCCAACCCCCCTATAGGCAGCAGTATAACCTGAAGTTTTAAGACTTCTTGGGTCCCTCAATGGACTCCAAGAAAAAGATTTTACAGGAAGTACAAAAATCAGTTTTTTTCTTTTTCCCTTCCTTTTCTCCTGTATTTTAAATCGTTATCCTTTTCTAATAAAGTGGAGGTGATCCTATGTTGTAACTATGGTATTTAAACATATGGGATTTCCTCCATCCTGTGTTCACTAGGTGTCTAGTTTAGGAGAGTGGAATTTTGGAGAGCAGAATTTCCTACTTTCTTCCTCAAGAACAATGTAAAGTGAAGCAAAACAGTCTTATTTGCTTTAGGCAGATCAATTTATGACCCGATCTGGTAATAATTATAATATAATAATAATTATTGCATTTTGGCTGTCGCCATTATGTTTGCACTGCTTTATGGAATAACTGTCTAAATCTTTTTTCAAGCACATAATGCAGTTGTCACATCAGCGATCTTTGCCCCAAACCCCAGCCTGATGGTACCACCAGATGTATCATCTGAAAAACAAGAAAAACAAGAAACTGACAACAAGGGGGAACAAGGAGAGTCTGTAGATCACATACCTTCTGGTGGGTATTGGCTTTGTTACTAGTTTTACGTCTTGTTTAACAATCAGAAAACCTAATATTCCTCTTGTTTTTAGTGTTCATATTTTATTTCCTAGTTGTCAGTTCTGTTTTTTTTCCATATTTTACCTTTATAATATAAACCTGTCAGTGGAACATTACATCCGTGCTTATGCTTAAAGTCTACTTAAGCTATTTTGAGTCTAACTTTTATGAAATTGTTTGAAGACCTAATTGTCAAATGTTTCAGTCTGCAGTCATTTGTTACATTATATTTTGAGCTAAATTCTGCTCATGCACCACCATGTGGATGAGGCTGAGAGAGAAAGGCGCTGAGAGAGAAAGGCGCTGCAACCCATGAACATAGATACTTAGAGGCTGATTTTATTAAGGAGTTGAGAATAAATTGTATGAATATTCACCTCAGTTATCCAATCGTGTGGAAAGCAAATCACGGTTTACGTATTTAATATGCACATAAGATAATTCACGTGAATCTTCATGAATTAGTGTGAACATTCTCATCTCCTTAAGTAAATGAGCCTTACACAATCAGGACAATTTATTAGGTGTGGATAGTGGCAACTATGATTTCACCAGCAGGGAAGCCAAGTTTACATAAACACCAGTATAAATACTCCACAGTAAGCAGTGTCCCTTTTTCAGTTTAAATACAAATGTTTTATATTTGACTGTAGTGAATAAATATTTGATTCTGTGCATCTGGTATCCCTGTGTTTAAGTGGGAGCCACAGGAGACCATGTACTGAATATCACAATGCAGTCTTTGGCATCGATAACTGTTTATTTGGATATAGTCTCTTTTGGTGAGATTATTGAGATCCCCAAGAGGAAAAAAAATAGTTTCAGATGTCACATTTACCTACTGCACTCCAGCTGTGGAACCTCCTCTGTCTCCCGTGGCCATTTCTGGGTTTTGACAGGTTATTTGACTGAAGCTCATATGACTTGAAACTCAAGCGGAATCGGCTGTCACCACTTGAGCATTGAGGCTGGGTTCACACCTAGGCGTATCGAATATGCGCGTTTTTACCGCGATTCGCGGTAAAAAATTTGCAATAAATGCGCGTTTTTAAAGGGCTACCTGGCTGTATCCCAATGGATATGTGCGGCAAATACGCCCCAAAGAAGCCCCTGTACTTCTTTGGGCGTAGGGCGTTTTGCAGCGCTGCAAAACGCCCAAGTGGGAACCATGCCCATAGGCGATCATTGGTTTTCACATGTTGAGCGTTTTACAGAGCATAGGAACGCGCTGTAAAACGCCCAGGTGTGAACCAGGTCTTAGTCTCTTCCGAATTCTATACTTCCTTGCTCACTTTGCTACCGGTGTGCTTTGATACCAGTGTACTTAGTGCTCAGTGCTACCTGTCTTACCAGCGCTACATCTGTTACAAGTGCTACCCTTCTACCAGTGCTACCTTGTACCAAAAGTGATGCCCATATCACCAGTGCTACCTATACTACACTCTATGGGGGTAACACAGTCATCTGTATAGCTCACTGGCCGGGTTCTCGAGTACTTGAGTGACCTGCGGGTAGCTTGAAGCCAAATCCAAACTTTTGTGAGGAGGACCCTGGCAGAACATCAGCTAGCTATCCCTTAAGCTGGCCATACACCTTACAATTATCTGCAGATTTTCTGTGGTCAGATGGAAAAGGTGCAACAGATTCCTCCATCTACACTTAACTGTGTGGATGGAGTAATCTCCACCTGGGCCAATCTGTTGCACTTTTTCCATCTGACCACAGAAAATCTGCAGATAATTGTAAGGTGTATGGGCACCTTTAGACTCCACTCTTAGGGAAAGCACCCTAGGGTCATGACATCAGATTAAAAGGAGCCCTCATTGTAAAGCAGATGTGATGCCAGCTGAAAATGTATGGAACTAAGGATTGCACCTCTCTGCTGCCTGCACTACAGTTAAGAAGTAGATACTGGTCCAAGGCCCACCCAGATTGTCATAGGGCAATGAAGACCATCCCTGTGCTTATCCTTCCTGTAAGCATTTCTGCACATTTGCAAAGCAATGTAATCTGATTGGCTCAGAATGTTAATCCTCCATTTCACAGTTTGATTGCAATTCTGTCTATGAAGAATATCACAATACACAATATTTTTAGGACAGATTCAGGTGGTTACACTAGGTGCACTTAAGATGAACGGTTTTAAAAAATACATAATTTCAATATTTTCCCTAGAAATGAATTTCTGCATAAAAGTACATTTCAAGTAGAATTCTTTTCTTTGGGGCTCGTTCCAATCTATAAACTGCAGTTTACTGTGTTTTTAAAGAGCAGTTATAAGGGTCCTAGCACACCTTACATGTATGTTACCATGAATGCTACAGCCCGTGCCTAGGTGTGAATTGCCCCTTATATTTTTTCTCTATTGGAAAAATCTAATTTTGGTGATTTGTTGCTTTTCCAGGTGCTTTGAAGTCTGATCACACAGAAGTGCTCTTGTCTGCGGATTTCACAGGGGCCATCAAAGTGTTCATTAACAAGAAAAAGAACGTGTCTTAAGTCCAATTGTGATGGAGGAAAGCTGCATTGGTAGCCACCAGTATGAATAGCAGGAGGTCACACACATAATACTGCAGCAGTTGAAGACCGCCCAACAGCAATCCAGGGTTCAAACAATGATCAATTTCCTTCAGTAAATATGTGACCAGAACGTTTGTGCTGCTGAGCATCTCTCCGATTTCCCAATGACCATATTTCTGCAATTTTTTTAAAACTGCTTATCAAATTAAGGCTTAACCATACACAATACACAGCTAGTGGAAATGGCTGCTTTTATTTTTAGTCCTAGCCATGGGGTGCCACTCTTCAGACAGAATGGGATATTGAAATTGGTAAAAAACAGAATGGAGACATTAGTCTGGCTCCAGCTGCCATTTTTTTAGTGCCTCTGATGAAGCAAAATCCAGCACCTAGCTGCTATAAGTAAAGCTGAACATACACCAATAGATTATATGCAGGTTTTCTATGGTCAGATGGAAAAGGTGCAACAGATTCCTCCATCTACGCTAAACTGTGTGGACGGCGGAATCTCCCATTGGGCCAAGCTTCAGTATCTTGCTAGTCGATCCTGCTGTCTCTCAAAACACCTGAACAATGCCTACATCCAATCAGATTTTTCAGGTATTTTGAGAGCCAGCGGGGCCGACTAGCAAGATACTGAAGCTTGGCCCAGTGGGAGATTCCTCCATCCACACAGTTTAGCGCAGATGGAGGAATGTGTTGCACTTCTTCCATCTGACCCTAGAAAATCTGCAGATAATCTATAGGTGTATGAACAGTTTTACTCCCTTTTCATCTGGTTTTATCATTAACCCCCAGCGGTTTGCTGAACTTTTGTTACTGACCTGAATTGTATGGAGGATAGTTCACTCTGAAGCAAATCATAAAGCGCTTTCATCCCATTTTTTCCTTTTAAAATTACTTTGTTTTTGTTTAAATTGGGTTTGCTTGGACCATCTGCAGTTGTAGCCTAAATAAAAGCTCATTCTTATTTTGTCCCTGAGACATTTAAACAGCTTTTGGGTGCTTCAATCCCCCATTATCTACCCAGAATTAATATTTGTTTTGAGTAGCCTGGACCTGTAAATAAAAACTCTGTTTAGCGCCCCCATTTACATTTTAACCTAGCGCGCATTTTCAGAAAAAGGCAACTTTGAAAGCCCACCATTTATGGGTTGTCCTTGGATGTAAAAGATCCCCTAAAAATATAGGGCTGTGTGGCTATTCCTCAGATTGTCAGCTCTAGGCAGGTCTACGTTAGGAAACAAGTGTGTTTTTGCTCCTATAAAACCAGTCAAAAGCTTTCTTCCTGTGATTTGTGTCAGTCATGATGCTGCTGCTTTGGAATGGGAGCCTACACCACTAACCCCAAATCATTTTAAAGCAGAATGAGCACACGAGATAACATTTTTATATTTAGGGATCAAAGAGGGATTGTTTAGACAGGAGCTCCCTCATTGTCAGTACAGGTTTAAAGTGTAGCTTGTAAAACAGGCAGCAGTGCAATTTTGGAGGCATTTGTTACACTAGGACAGTGCAATGGTTCTGGAATCGGCTTATTGAGCTCTGCAGATCATTGAAGGTCAGCAGTTTTTTTTCCCTTCAGGGTATAACATCTGGGTATGGGCAGTGGGGGGGGGGTTCCCGTCGACTTGTGTAGCTGCATTACAAATCTGTTCCATTGTACAAACTTGGGATAATCCAATAATGTGGTATAAAGAGATCCAGAAAATCCTTGCGTTTAATTTCAATCCTTACGTCCAACATACACGTATGTTGGACATGCCATAGTAACAAGAACTTGAGTTGCACAGTATGAATGAACCTTTTTGTTTGTGAATTATTCTGCCACCACTACAGTACTGTGCAAATGTTTTAGGCAGGTGTAAAAAAAAATGCCGTACAATAAGAATGCTTTCTGAAATAAGTGTTAATAGTTTATTTTTATCAATTAACAAAATGGAAAGTAAAATAACAGAAGAGAGGTCCAAATCAAATCAATATTTGGTGTGGCCAACCTTTGCCTTCAAAACAGCATCAATTCCTCTAGTTCAGTGGTTCTCAACCTGTATAACCTGTGGACCCACATTTGTCCTTGGTCATTAAGTCGTGACCCAAGTTGCACTGCAATGGAACGCACGGCATTGCAGTACTGCACATTCCGGTGCAGGCATTAGAACTGTGGGTGGGAGGTGCATTTGGGGTGCCATTCAAATGAATAGCAATGCACTTCTCACACCAAAACGCGTGGTAGGTGCGAGTGTGAAGTACAGTGCGTTAATCGTACGGGACTGTGATTAGCGCACTGTACTAGTGTGACTGGGTCATCAAAAACACGCAACCACAGACACAATCTCTCACACACATACAACCAAAAAATATATAATTTTTGTTCTTTTTTTAAGATCCACCCAGTCTCCCTACCTTATGAGAACTGGAGTAGATCCTTAGCTTGGGGCCCAGTGTGGGCTGCTGTACTGTAATGGAGCTCCATCCATATGTGCATTCCTTGTACAGCTTCCTTGCACACCCTGTAGAGGTGCTGAGAGCCAGAATGTGACATCATTCCGGTTCAGGCACCTCTACAGGACTTGCGAGGGAGCTGTAAGCTATGCACATATGGATGGAGCCCACCCCACCTCCGGCCCCGGCCAGCATATTTTGAATAGCTGCTTAGCGCAAGAACTGACAGTGCTGTGCTAGGGGGAGGCTGAGGAGCCTCGAACCTAGAAAAGTGGAAGGCGCACGGGGACCCACTGAACACGGGGTCGCGGCCCACTTTTGGGTCACGACCCACCAGTTGAGAACCAAGGCTCTAGGTACACTTGCACACAGTTTTTGAAGGAACTTGGCAGGTAGGTTGCTCCACACATCTTGGAGAACTAACCACAGAGGAACCTCTACCATACGTCACTTTTGCAGACACTCATTACTGTACCACTCTCCAGCCCTTCGGCCAACAAACTGCTTACTGCTAAAGCCAAATATTATATTTCTGAAAGCATTTTTTCCCACATAAAACCTTTGCACAGTACTGTATATGCTTAAATCCCAGCACACTTTGAATGCAACAAAGCTTTACATACACCATTCATTTTCTCACTGGGTCTCCAGCTATGATTTGTTTCTCACATAAGAGGCCATTCATTTTCACTCTCTCCTGCCTCAATCCATAAGGTGATGTTAATATGATGATTTTGCTCATTCTATTCAGTTACCTGTTCCTTTTCAAACTGGAATTGGCATAGCCAACTAGAATCCCCAGCTCATGTATAGATATGTTATCAACAATTTTAAAATCTATGTTTAGATCTACCATAAGGCAGCACAAGTTCACTTTAGGTCGGTATGCCCCTTCTTTGTACCCGTTTGAACATATATACCCCACCCATTTTTTTGGCCACCCTATATTAAGGAACCATATGAGCACCATTCCATTACACTGGCCAAGCTGGATTTACATGTGAGGACTCGGGGAGAAATCTAAAGTGTTATCCTAGGCTTGGACTGGAGAGAGAGTGAACATAGATAATGCAGTCTCGGGTTCATTTGATCTGCTGAGGACCAATAAGAGATCATTGCGACTAAGTCTGCATTTCTGGAACATGACTATATGGTCTGTACAGGCATTACTATACATCTTAAGCTGCCCACACACCTTACAATTTATCTGCAGATTTTCTGTGGTCAGATGGAAAAGGTGCAGCAGATTCCTCCATCTGCACTTAACTGTGTGGATGGAGTAATCTCCACCTGGGCCAATCTGTTGCACTTTTTCCATCTGACCACAGAAAATCTGCAGATAAATTGTAAGGTGTGTGGGCACCTTTACAATAGGTCAGAATGCAAAGATAAGTATACATGTTCACCCCTTATAAACATGCATTCCACACATGAGATGATGGTTTGCCAATGTGGACGTTTTCACAGTTCCAGAGTCTGTGGTTTCCTTCATATACGGATTTCTTCTGTATATTGTCTCACTAAGATGACTACAGTATCTATCTCTATTTCTCATCATCCCACATCTTAATGCCCCCATACTAAGGAAAGCCAAGAAAGAGTTCATTCCTCAATCAAAGGGTCAGTGTATGAGAATACACTGATGTGCTGAATAAGCTAATGTCAGGTCATAATTGCCTGAGACTGAATTGGCAAGACTTTGCCACTGCTGCATCTTGCTGCATTAATAGATAGTAGATCCAGTTAGCACGGGCAGTAGCTGCAATGGTGGCCAGATCTGGGACTTGGCTACACTGATCTCTACAATGGATTCTCCATGATATCCAAGAAGCTGGTGTTTTTGTTCAGTTCCCTGGCATCTACCCGAGACGGAAATATCAGGTTTGTGTAGAATGACCCTTTAAAATTGACGCTTTTAAAATAAATGTAGGTAGCTAACTAGCCAATGCTCCTTACAATGCAGCCGCTGCCTAACTTTTTTGTGTCCCTTCTGTCCGTGGAAGAGTATTCTCTGTGGTATCTAAAGGGGAACTGACTGGCTCCCAAATTCTGCATCTTTTTCCAGCCCTGTGCTTTACAAGCAGAAATTGGCAAATTATGTTTTTCTGAACGTTTGAAGTAATAGGTGAACACTTAGAAGTTTGTATTGCACACATTATTTTCTGTTCGTATTGCCTACTTTTAGAATAAAATTCACATGTTTCTATTGGGTCAATATATTGTATACAAAGAAATCAATCTGCAGACTTGGAATACTAGCTGCCATTGCTATGTCTTTCTTTCTGTTGTGACATTTTTGGTTGATTTGTATCACTTGCTTTGCACACTAGGGCACAATATCTCTGTGTAAATAGTAGAAAGCATCTCATTCCTTTTCATTCACTCATCAGGGGAGAGTAAAGTGTTTCTGCACCCTGCATTTGTACATTTCTCAGTGGGTTATGGCTCCGTTGTCTCAGCAGTCGGGTTCAGGGTATTCCTAAACGACTGTTTCCATGGTGGTACTGTGGACTGACCTCCTTGCCACCTTACAGTTCCATGGGTAACTGTATCAGATGCCTAGTGGATGAGACGAAAAATTTGAATAAGGTCAGTTTTGTCATGTGCACTATGGAACTGTAGTTGCAGTAGAACTGAAGCCAAGCCTTTTTATTTATTTTTTTAGTTTTGGATAGAGTGAGGGAGGCACATAACCCTCATCAGCTTTTTTTTTTTTTTTTGCCATATGTGTACCATAGTGGAGATTTTTTTTCCCCTTCCTGTCCCGTAGCCACAACAGGAAGTAGGAGGAAATCCCTGGTGGTCAGCAGTCACCAGAACTAGTGTCCCCATTGTAAGAGTTTCCATCTATTCCTGTTATGGAAACCACCCAAAATGTGAGATTTTCTTTCCCTTTTACAGGGTTATTCACAAAAGGGTGAAGAGTTTGGAGAAGGCAGGAGAAGTGGACAATCTAGG